ATTTTTTTAAATCGATTATTTCCATAGAGATTTATATTTGTTGGAATCGAAACAAAGCGCTCTATTAACAGCTGCTAATTATAGAGAATACCACATGCCACGATACTTAATTAAATTAAAATAATAATGACGATGATCAACTGGGCTTGGTTTTTCTTCTGCTTGCCATCTGCATTTAGTGATGTTCGACCTACATACTTGTACCAAATAAACGATTACATTATACATTTTTTTTGTTCTTCTCATTATTATTATACTTTTAATCATCTGGTCTGCTAAATATTTAGGTTCCATCAATTTGCACACTACAGCAATACCTCGCATAGTACGGCTTCGATCAGTGGGAATTCACTATAGGACGATTTGAGAATTTTGAAAGAAATTATATTTTTTTTTCAGCAAACTAAAAAATTATACATAAATTATCGTTTTTTTCTCTATACAGTCTTTCTATTAGTCCGGTTTCAAATAGTGCAGGATATTGGTGAAATGTATAATACTATGCGAAGTATAATACAACAATTATATAATAATACGTATAAACAAAAATTATATGTTATAGATTCTTCAATTTGAACATGAAGATAGTATTGAAATATAAATGCACATGCGATTGCAATGAATACAGCAATACCTCGCATAGTAGGGCTTCGATAAGTGAAATTATGTTTTATTTGAGCAAACTAAAAATTGTACATAAATTATTATTTTTTTCTCTATACATTCATGTCTCTTTATTGATATTGGATATTGACGAAACGTATAACCTTCACTATGCAAGGCATACATAATATACCAATTATATAATAATACGAATAAATAAAAATTATATGTTATAATTATAAATTACTTCTTTTCATATCAATTGTCTTATATTTTGATAACATTCCTAGTCTACTTAATATTTGTATTTCTATATTATATCAAAATCACAATTAAATGAATTCAATTGAATAATAATAATATTTTAAGTATGTTTTTATACAAGGTTTTATACAATATAAAAAGTTTTTAAATTAGGAAAAATTCTTAAAAAATACAATCATAACAATACTTATGTAAACTTATTACAACAAATTAATTAATTAAGCTTTCAAATTATGTTATTGTTTATTTAAAAATAGTTAATGTGACTATTGAAATTCGTAAAATGTATACACAAATTAGTAATCTATAAAAATGATTCCAATATAAAAATCAATGATTGTATTACCTTTTTGTGTTAAAAATGCATCCTATAGTCCGAAAATTACGGTAATCGACTATACTGTTGAAAGTATAGTCGATTTATTTGTATACGCGGAATTACAAAATACTGTTCATTAATTATTATAATTATCTATTATATAAATGTCGTTGGTCGCGGAGAGAACAAATAATAATATTTAAAAAAAAACAGTACGTATGTATTACGTTTATTTGTGTCAAAGAATTTGTATGCTAATGTAGGAACAAAAGCCGCTGAGTACGGCGAAGAGGAAACTCACGAGAGAGAACAGATTTAGTTTTGCATTTGAAAGCGTATAAATTGTTTATTGTTGGTTTAATATGAGAATGAAGTTGCCGGCTTTTGTGTGTTTGTATTTGCCTGCGCGTGTATGTGTGAAGCACGAAGGAGTCGCCGCGTCTGGCTTTACTCGGCCATGAGGTCGGGTCAATATGCACGGGTCAAGTTCTTCTAGTCAAGATCCCAGAGGCAACAGCCAGCATCCATTCAGTAACTCTTAGCACTTATTTAAGAACTCTCGGATGCCATCAACAAACACGCGCTCCTCTTTATTTGTAAATGCGCTTTTCACACTCCATATACAAATTTCGTACGAAAGTTTACCAAACGATTATGACAGATCCAC